TCAACGCTTTCATTCAGCATTGCCACTTCACACCAAACGAATACTTGTGGTTTCGTCTTGCCCTTGGAAGGGAGCTTATCAGCGGTCAGAGCTTCAGGAAAAAGACGGCCATTCCCGCTTTTCAGCACAAGAAGCGTGGACGTCAGTCTGGACAGAAGATGGTGGGCGTTCCTGGAGAAATCAGATTTCACAAAGGTGACCACCACCCTGTGAAGACAACCGGACGTAAACGGTGCAGGTGGTGTTCTACCAAGGCGAAGGAAATTAGGACGGCACTTGTATGCAAAGTCTGCAACGTGCCGTTGTGTGCTACATGTTTCCTGCCTTTTCATAACGGAAAGTGAAGGTTTTCATACAGCCAGACGTTGCTGTTTGCAAGAGTGCAATTTTGAATAAATTTAGTACCCACATTTTCTTTATTGCCAACAGCCCTTTTGAATGTGGTTACTGGGACCATATTGTCCCACATTCTCTGGTTGTCTGAACAACCAGTGGGACATATGCGTCCCACTTTTTTTGAGTCCCCCTTTGCACTGACGAAACTAAAATTTTATATGTCACATAGTGATGTAGTAACCATCAGTTTTATACAGACAAAATGAATTGATCGTGTTTTTTCTCATTGTGTCCCATAAAGGGTTAAATAAAACATTGTGGATACTCTTGTCTCTTTGACTGATATATACATTGATCACTTGTTCCAAAAGAAAAACACAAGCGCAATGAATAAAACCGTAGTGAATTATCATTACCTGCATCTCTTTTTATTATAACTTAATCGAAATAAAGATTACGTCACGACCAATTCACACGAACCACTGAACAAAACAAAACAGGGAATCGCTAAATCAAAACGACCTGCAAAAACTATCCATTTGGGCGATGAAAAGTGGTCTGAAATCATGAACTTTCGTCATAGCCAAACGTCGGTTACGCAAAGTAATTCAAAATTTGCGCCAGTGAAACCGAAACAGGAAGCGCACGCCACTTGCTCTCACCAACCCCCAGGTGTGCTAGGGTCGATTGGGCCGCTGGGGTCTACGGGAGTACAGTGTACTAGAAGTATTGGATAGTGAAAAGAGCGGAGGGCGGCGGCCATAGGATTCGTGAAGCCAAGAGCTAAAACTCCCGCTAGGGGCGCTGGTGTGCTCTTCCCGAGGAGACCATGCCGGCTGCAAGCGTTTGCATGCTTTACCGCGTGGCGTTGCAACGGGTCAATGTGTTTTTTGCAAGTGAATCCGTGACTCTCTCTGTGTTCGATGCTGTGCTAATGTCACTTCTAGGGTAATGGAAACGAAGAAGAAAAAACGGATACGCATCGCTATGCACCCGGATGCAAGAGCGGGTATCCTGGTTTTTCGAGAAGCAAACGGGCGCACGCTGTCTCTTTTTGGAGTGCCTAAGGGCAATGAACGGCGGAAGCAATGGGACAGAAACCTTCACCGCAAGGATAAGGCACTTACCGAGATTTCAGCTGTGTGCGAAAGGCACTTTGAGGAGCGTTTTATTTTGCGCGACTATGTGCACGTCGTCAACGGAAGTATGGATTCCTCGAGGTAAGCCGGCGCTGACCGACGACGCGGTCCTTACTCGCCTGCCCGATTTGCCATCCTACCTCTCAAAGGAGACGCGTCAGCGAAGACCAGAGAGAAAACGCGTTGCTGTGTGCCCAGCTATGTGCACAAAGAAGCTGCGTTTGTCTCAACGCGATGTTCTTGATACATCATCCCCAGATGTGGGTGCGGATGGCGACGACAGCCTGGATGGGATGGTGCCCCGGCATGATCTTCGTACGATTGTGAACACTGTGAGTGTCCCGAACGGATGGACGCGACTTGATTCTCTGGACTGTGATGGTGTTGTGTTTGCCACGACAAGTGTAAAAAAGAACCATTTGCTCTTCTTCACGAAAGAGTGCTGATGTTTGCAACGAACTGCGCAGGCATAGTTACCGCCCGCCTATACTTTTGCGGAAAAGAGAGGAAGGACGTTCCAATCAGATCGGTAAAGGAAGCGGCGGAGACTTTTAGGTACTCCGATAGTGCTATTCTCTGCAAGGGTGCCATGGGCCAAGCAGAGTTTGACAACAACTACAGCGAGGATACCACATGCCACCTCAAGCACTCTGTAGACATTGTATACGGCATTGTTCTCAGCAGATCTTGCTCAGGGATAGTAAGCAAAGAAGGTAAGCACTCAGCTTGTTCTGCGACACTGTGCTATTAATTTTTTTTTCATGTGGGAAAAAGCACCCTTTAAAACATGAAGAAAAAAAAGAGCTTCGCTTGTACATTGCAGTGTAATATCATGTCGCTTCATGCGTCTCCGAGGCTCATAAGTTTCAGCAAACCAGATGAATACCATATCTTGTCATTCTGCTTATCCAAGTGAAAACTAAACGTGCAATTGAAAAATGTCGCCACGCACTTACAAGAAACTCTCCATTTGGATTCACCCTCTGTCATGTGTTATTACAAATTAATAAAGGTGCCAGAAGGTGATAACAGGAAAGCACAAGTAAAATAGGGAATTGGCTGTGGGAATAATGTTGGACCGCTACGAAAAATTCACCTTGTGCTGTTCGCTGATTTGTTCAATAATTTCTTACATATTCTAACAAGTGTTGCGTAAATATGGCTCTGAATATGAAAATAAAAGCCAAACTTTTTTTGCTTTAGGTGCCGTCTGTGTAGCATGCCACTACCTAAGGAAGTGCCTACAATCAAGAAAGTCCTGGTTCAAGACAAGAAAGCCTGTGAAGAGGAACATTACCAAGCACCTGAAGCTGGCTCGGCAAAGGACAAAGCGCTTGGCCTCACGTGCTAGCACACTGCAACAAATGGTTTCCGCAATGAAAAATGCAAATTCGAAAATCACTGAAGATGCCCTCAAGAGCAAACTTGAAACATTGCCATCAAAACAAAAAGAGGCCGCTATGCATATGTTTGCAGCACGACCGGCTTTATAAATAGCGACCTGCGCATCCGCCACCAGCGCCGTGTCCGTGATTTTTTTTTGCTTGTTGTGTTATTTATAGTTTCCGCGAGCGCCGCTGCAAGCCGTGGCGCTGCTTTTAATCCTCACGTCTCCCATCCTCGCGACTGCGTATGCTGCCGGGCGAGGGTGATCGGCGCGTTTGCTTGTGCATTTGCATGCACGTCTCTTGGTATTACCTCAACTATTAGCTATGGTTGAAAGAAGTTGGGCGAAGTAGTTACACGGTGCAACTTGCGCAATGGTTTATTGCTGCGTACCGCTCTGCAAATCAAGCGGGCGCACGGCCGCATCACGAGGAATATCGTTCCACGAGTTCCCGATCACGGATGTGCGGAACCTGTGGCTGAAGAACATTCATCGACAGGCCGAAGGTAAGCTGTGAAATCCGAAGTAATCTAAACAAACTCCTACGCATGTTTAGGAAGCGCCGGACCACGTTAGTCCTCGTGTTTCATACTTTCGATGCTTGCCGTGATCGTGTGAGAACAGTACGATCTGCCTTTATTAGACGGTCGATTGCGTGCAGCGGCGACGCGCTGCATTACAATATTGAGTGTTTGGTTTCAGTTTCAGCTTGATTTCTACGCGTCTGTTGTGGGCGTAGCGAAAACCACATTTCATGTTGACACTTCGTTTTACAGGACCAGGGAAACAGCCGTGGCTTCCGAACGACCGGAGCAAAGTCTGCAGCCTTCATTTCCGGCCAGAGGACTACAGGGAGTCCACCAAATACCGAAGGCTGAAACCCGATGCCGCCCCGACACTTTTTCCCGACTTTCCGACGTACCTGCAGCCGGCACCCAGTCAACCACGGCGGCCGGCGAAACGCAAGAGGGTCTCACTAGATTGCCCTAAGCAAGCTACCAAGCACAGGCAAGAGCAGTTCTTGTGCCGAACGTCTGTACTATTATTGCAACATTAATCTGAGCGAATGTCTATTCATTTTGCAGTCATGATGTCCCATCCGATGATGGCATTCTTGCTGATACAGCAGACGATACAGCAGGCATCACAGCGCATGCAGAGGACTCAGTCAATGCACCGCAGACCTTGACACCTGAGCCAGACCCTCAGCCACCTTCGCAGACACCTCCACATGATCTAGTGCAAAGAACCTGCTCGTTTTCTTTTTTGCCCTCCACATCTGAGCCTGCTTTGAAAGAGACTCCCAGGCCTGTTTCGGTGCGGCCTAAGCCCACTAAAAGCACCCAAACAAGAATGTCACTTTCACGGATGGCACTGCTTCTTAAACAGGTCACAAGGCTGACAAGGAAGTGCCGGCTACTTGCAAGAAAGAAAAATGATTTGCAGGAGGAAGTTTCTGGACTGAAACGGGAGGCAAGAAAAGTAAATCTGGCTATGGAAAAAGCCAACCTCGTGCTACTTCAGGTATGACCAGCATTAGAAAATTACCTAACATTTGAACTTGTCCAGACAGATTTTAACAATTGCCAAATGCTTGCAGGAAAAAGTTGAACAGAATGAGCCAAAGGCACTTTTCATTCAAGAACAGCTGGCGTTTTTGGGTGTTAAGAAGGGCCGCTGGCGTGAGGAGTCTATACGAAACTGCGTGCTTTGGCACTCAAAGTCTCCAGCTGCATACCGCCTAATACGGGAAAGTGGCCTCTTGGCACTACCCTGCCGCTCGACCTTGAAGCGGTACATAGGTGCCTGCACAGGGGAAGTGGTGTCTTCATTGATCAAACAGCGGCTGCATATGGAAGCAAAACTGCACTCTGAGAAGGTAACGTTAGCAATGGTACCTGGGAGACTTTATATTTCAGTGCTCACCTCTGCAGGCACGCTGTGGCTCGCTGGTCATGGACGAGATGTCTATAAAGGAAGCCACCATTTACCACAAACAGTCTGATGCTGTTCACGGCCTGGTGAACCTGGGGGGTGCGGAGGCAGACTATGGCCTGGAAAACGAGTTGGCAACCCACCTCCTGTGCTTCGTCTTTGTGGGATTGTCCACCCAGTACAGGTATTGCAGTTATCGTTACAGCTACCATTGCATGTACACCAAATCATGAACATCTGAATCATGCCATTTAGCTGTCTGAATCTTGCCATTTGAACTATGACTGTCATTTCCCTTCGCAGGCTTCCGGTCGGTTATTACTTTACAAAGGCCCTGACTGGACAGCAGCTTGAGCATCTTGCTCTTAATGTGATGCAGTCTGTTGAAGATGCTGGCTTTCGAGTGGTTCGTCTTGTTGGAGACAATCACAAGTCGAACACGAAGTTTTTTTCAAGCTTGTCAGGGGGGCAGATACAGCCTGTTGTAGAGTAAGTGCAGGGATCTTATGAAGTCACATCTGATGTGCGTCTTTGCTGCAGATCTTATATCATAAATACGGAGTAATGTTTGCTTTCCATCAAATGTGCACAGGTTAAAGTTACTTGAATCTGAATTATTGGATATTTCTTTTTAGGCACCCACTTGATGCAGGTCGACCACTCTTCCTGTCATTTGACTACTGCCACATTATCAAGAACATCCGCTCACAGTTCCTGGATGCGAAGAAAATTTTCAGGAACCAGGGAAAGCTCATCCTTCCCGATTTCCTCAGGTAGTATCAAACATTTCTGTGCCTTATAATTTCTGTATTTGTTTTGGTAACACCTTGCTTTGCTGTAGGCTACTGCACAAGACCCAGGAAAGTCAAGGTGCATTCAAGCTGGTGAGGTGCCTAACGGAGAAACACCTAAGCCCCAGCAACTTTGAGAAGATGAACGTCAGGAGAGCTGTTGACATCTTCTCGGTGCAGGTGAATAGCTAATTGCATGCCGCATAACTCAGTGTGGTTGTGCGGCTCTAACATTATGAAATGGCCGTAGAAATATTCATTATTATGCGGAGGTAACGAGACTGGCCGAGTTTTGTTGCTTTAAGTCCATGTTTAAACAAATCTGATGCTCATTGCCTTGTTTAGGTCACCTCAGTCCTTAGGTTCCTCCAGCAGCACGGCCATCGCCTTGGGGCTAACGGGTTCCAAAACTGTTTGCCAACTTTGGAGTTCATGGAGGTGGTGCAAAAATGGTTTGCCTTGCACAACATCAAAAGCACGACATTGCACTGGACAAGTCGAGATGCCTTGAGGATGCCATTCTACAGTGCAGACGACGAAAGGTATGCCATGATCCGAAGGGTATTGCAGTTCCTTCGAACAAATTAAGCTGTACATTGTGATGTGACGATTATAAGTGTGTTTTCACTTTGCAGACTTTTGTGGCTGGAGACAGAGTGCCTTCAGTACTTTGCCCAGTGGAAAGAGAGCACCTTGCACAAGAAGGAGTTCCTCTCTGAGGAGACCTATGAGGCACTCAGAGTTACAACGCTGTCTACGGTTTTGTGCACAAGGCACCTCCTGCAGCTTGGATTCTATTTCGTCTTGACGGGGAAATTCTCCAGTGATGATGTGGAATCCCTTTTTTCAGCCATCAGACAGCTGAATGGCTCAAATGACCTTACTGATGCGTATGCAGCCCTGTCGGCCTTGCAGAAGATCTTGACGACAGGCATCATTCACTCCTCGGAGAGTGGAAATGTTGGAGGTGTCGTTGCCCCATTGGGTGAAGTGCCAGCCTTGCCTGTCGAGCCTGTCAAGCAAGCTGCTACTGGCACGGACATCCGGAAGCTCCTGCTGCCTCACCTAGCTACACTGGAACGCTACCCATGTATGTGCACAATCATTACGCAGCTTGAACTGAAACATAAGATTAAGTGAACAGTTACAGATAGAAAAAAGACAACACAAGAAAACAAAGCGACACCGTGATATATTTGATTTCTAAACTGCTGTGCTGGAGGGAGCACCCACTTCACTTTCTTGCTCCCCACGGCGGACACCTTAGGCTATTAAATCTACTTATTCACCTTGTTCTTTTTCATAATTTTCGTAGGTCCTCCACAGCAGAGTCTGCGGTCCAGTACGTTGGCACTGATAGCCGGTTTCCTCGTCCGGGCCATTCAGGATAACATTGAATGCGAGGGCTGCCTGGTGAAGCTACAAGCTCCATCTTCCAGCTCCCCAACCACAGCCCTCATTGCTGGCATCGACAGGGGAGGCCTCTCCTATCCCACCTTACCATTTGTGGGATTTGTCCACCACCTGGAGCAAGCTGCCTCCCGAGTGGCTTCCGTGCTTGTAAAGGGACCTCACCCGCTCAAGAAGTTCTCGGCCGTCGTGTTACCTTCACTTCTGAAGAGCCCACTTTTTGATTGTGCCGAGGACAAAAGTGTGCCACACAAAACAAAGCTGGTCAGCGTAATTCTGCAGAAATTCATGAGGCCATTTTTGTCTAACACCGCCAATGGCCTCACAGTGTCCAACGCCAAGAAAAAGGCACTCAAAACGAAACCCACCTCGCGAAAGGTGCTGAAGGTCTAATTCTGAAGGCCAGACTGTCTCTAAATGTGCTCGTGATTCAGTGTGTCATTTAACGAATAAAACATTTGGCAAGTTGTGATCTATTGTTGCTCTAAGCTTGAATGCATGGATTAGATGAGTTGGGTGTGTCCTCATTTCGTCACAAGTTCAAGTTTCCTTGAACTAATTCCGTAGTCCTTACGGTGCGCCTCGAAGCCCAAATGCAAGCACAGCGCGTAAAACCCAGAAAAAAAAAAAAAGCGTGTAATATTTGTTGGCGCTCCCGTCACCTGCATAAAACGCGATAAATCTGACGAGACGGCCAATGCAGGTACAACTACCGTAATACAGTTTAAAAGTTAGCGAGCTCATTGCACCAATCTGTGTGACCTGCGTATCAAACAAGCCACAATTGAAGGTGAAGTTGCGCAAGAACTCTCGAAAGGATAAAGTGACAAGTACGTACGCGCACAAAATGTAACAGCCGACCTAGCCTACTTGTTTTCCTGCACTTCGGAGTGCACCTCGCGGACCTGCTAAATATACCTCATTAGACAGAACCAGCATGGCACTGCATAACATTCTTTGACAATGTTGTCTAGGCTGCCAGGAAAAGCTAGCCCAGGTTGCGGGCCCGTGCAACAAGCCACCGTTACGAGTGCTGACGTTTCTATGTTTCCTCGAAGTTGGTTGGTTGGAAGTTGGTATATACTGTCTTGTTTCACGTCATGGTAGGCAGAACAAAAAACAAAACAGCTGATGTTTGCAAAGGCACGGGGTTTACACGATCTCGCGCGTTCCGCTGTCGTAGTAGCTGTAGCAGCCGACACGAAGTTGAGGATTAAACCCAGTGCCCCCTGGTGAGACGCGCCGTCAACATCGCGGCTTTTCTTGGACCGCGTAGCCCCGTAGGAGAAAAGCGCGTGCGCAGGTCGCTATTTATAAAGCCGGTCGTGGTTTGCAGCAGCTAAACGTAAAGGCATGCGGGGACAGCAAGAGCTGGATCCTCGAGTGTGTCATTATGAAAATGGAAGGCCCGAAACTATATGAGCACATGCGCAAGCAAAATATTCTTACAGTCCCTGCAAAATCAACGCTGAGCAATTACCTGAAGTCTTATAGGACCGGATTTGGCTTTAATCCCAAAATTTTTAAAGTCGTTAAGGAAAAAACAAGCACGATGGATCATTTCAAAAGACATGGAGGGCTGCTAGTAGACGAAATGAAACTGTCAGAAAACCTAGCTGTTACTTCCGGTGCACTCATTGAAGGATTCGTTGATCTGGGCTCCTTCACACCTAAGACTGACAAACACACTGTGTGTGACCATGAAATGGTCATTTGTTTCGTACCGTTTGTTGGGAAGTTGACGCAGATTCTAGCCGTATTCGCCACTCATGGTAACGTGAAAGGAGACCTGCTAGCAAAAATTATGACAGAAGCAGTTATCCTTGCAGAAAATGCAGGATTATATGTTGACTTCATTACTAGTGAAGATGTGGTCTCTGATGGGAATTGGAGCGACTACAACACTGACAAAATGCAAGGTGCAACACCCAGTTGATGCAAGCCGTTTACTTCACTTTGTGTCCGACTTTCCGCACATAATTAAGTGCCTCAGAAATGGCCTCCTGAAGAGCAGCCTCAACAAACCAGCAGGCGAGGTAAGATAGTTCAGTAAGTTTTCCCTGCATTTCATCTGTTGCAAGCAGGCCGTGTTTGTATGTCCAGGGCTCTATATTGGTTTAAAATGCAAACGGCTTGTCTTTTCTCTGCGTATATTTCGCAGGTCTCTCTTCGTCCACTACGGAAAGCACTGGAGCTTGACGGCTCTAATGTAACCCTTCAAGCCATGTCATGAATAACAAGCAGTCACACAAACCCGAACAACTTTGAGAAAATGAGGGTTTCCTTTGCCTTTCAAGTGTTTGGTGACAAGGTGCTCAATGGTCTTCGACTGTATGAGACAGAGCTGGAACGCAACTGTGGAAGCATACAACCAGTGCTCATCTTCTTTGGGTAAGTTTACGCGCAACGCTTTTTCGAAGGTACATTTATTGAGCTATGAAAAAAATCGCAGAACTATATATTCAACCATGAACTAAATCTAAAAATGCAACTTCTTGTATTTTTTTCAGAATGATACGAGACGCCACTGAAATAATGACATCCAGATTTCCAAGACAAGCCCTGCGGCCAGACTCTGCGTCGGAGGACAAGCTTCTTTCGTTCTTGACGTACCAGACCGAATGGGAGCTGCATGCAGGTGGTCGAGGTGGCTTTCTTTCGGCATCTACTGCGGCTGGCCTGAGAGTCACAATTGCTAGCGTTCTGTCATTGCTGACATATCTGACAGAGAACGTTGGCTACAAGTACCTAATGACCGCCAAGCTTAGTCAGGACCTAGTGGAAAATCTGTTTGGCATAGTACGGCAATGAAGCGATTGCAATACTCATCCAACACCCTAACAGTTCCTAATTACCGTGTCTTGCCTATGTTTTTACGGGCTTGCCAGGTCTGTATCTAACGGCAATGCTGAACCTGGTGTTCTTACCGCCCTGCTTGAGCCAGACATGATGGGAGACCAAACACATGGAAAAAGTGACGTCATCAAATGTCTCCTTAGTGACGATGACATTCCCTCTGCAGGACATCAAAAGCAGGGCCCCGTCAAAGACCATACTTCATGTGTTGAAGCCAAAAGTGATGACCGCCTCATTTTTTATAGTTGTGGTTACGTTGCAAGGAAGCTTTTGTTAAAATCGCAGTGTGATGAATGCCACAAATTGCTTCTCACAAAGAAGGATGATGTGGATTGTCTTGCTGCTGCTCAGTACACCCGGCTGCGAGACAATGGTGGCCTACTGTACCCAACTGGATGGCTTTTCAGGTTTATTCGAAGATTAGAAAACCTGTTCACAGCCACATTCAGTACACAGGAGCTGCATCATGAGAGCGTGATGGATATCATTGCTCTTGTTAAGAGAAACCGCCAAGACCGCATTGGATGTGCCAGCCATGCGGAATCGTTGACAGTGAAGGTTATAGCTTTTTATGTCACCACTCGGCTGCACTTTTGTGAAGTCTTTAAATCGTTCCAAGAGTAACAGTCTGGAGACTTCAAGATACCTGAAGTTGAGCCGCTGTACATAAGTATGTATAATGGTATTGCGCGCTTTCTTCGTGAAACTCTTCGCCTGCAGTATGTTTTGTGAATATGCCTCCCCCTGCCATTGATAATGTGACCTAAATAAAAGTGTCTGCAGGAGGCTCGTGCTTCTGAAATGTACATTTATTGCATGCATTCATTTAGCAGAAAAACATTTTTTATGTTTCCAACAGGACTTTTGACTGGTGCAGCTAAATAAAGTTTATAAACACAAAGTGAAATTTCTATGCGTTCTGCTGCAGCAGCACGAAGTACATGCATACCGATCAGATATTGCTGCAGGTAAGCGCCACGTACTACCATCGCATGTTACAGATTTCAGGGTTGCTTACATAACACCTTGCTGACATATTTGATTAAGAGTTCGTAGCAGCGCAAAGGACAAAAGTGGTCAGAAGAGAAGACACATCAGCGCTCTGTGTCTTCTCTTCTGTCCCGTCTTGTCGTTTTGAGCTGCTACGCACTCTTAATCTTGTTGTACCAACACGTCGAATCCTACTGTCTTTTAAGTGACATATTTGGCACGAGGCAAAATAAACATGACATTCTAAAACGCTTTGACGATGCACTCGCTCGTGGCGGACAGCCTGGAGGAGGAATGAACTATTAGATACTTTCAGCTGAGCGTCGCTTACGCTCAGCCTCGCGCAGATGTAGCTCCCCGAGATGCTTCAAGGAACTGCATACATTTCGCGTTTTTCAGGAGCGCATCTTGCCGAGACGGACTCAGCTTGGCTGCAAAACGACGGCAAACGGAGAGATCCGGTCAGTTACCTTCAAGCGGAGCGAGAGATGCGTTCTGCGTTCCACCACTCGCACGATCGTCCTGCACACGCGCTTTGCACTTCATACAACGCGCTTGTGTGTAAACGAGTATTTAAAAAAAATTCTGGAGTGGAAACTCGCAAGCGCTCGCAACGCATAGGCGGCAAAGGTGAAGCCACGGAATAGGGGAGCAACCAGCCGCTGCTCGGGAAACGAGCTTGTGCGCCATCTGGCGACCTTCTATGCACGACGCATCACGCCTAGGCCGCCGCTCCTGCCACTACCCAATACTTCTAGTACACTGTAACAAGAGTGTCCACTCATAACCTTTTTTTTTATTTCTCTATGGATCTGTTGTCTGCTGACGTAGTTCCATACTGACAAATCAGCAGGTGCCAACACGTGGACGCACAATACACACGTGCTATCCTTCAACAAACACAACAGCAGACGACAGGCTTGCACCTAAACTTTCTATTCAAATTTAGGCAGTGGCACTGTCGACGCGTTGCATTTGCACCACGAAACAGGTGCCGAGACCTATCTATCCTCGCTGCACCAGTTGTCGGCAGCGGCACATATCTCTCTTTTATGAATAGACCTTAGCTGAAATAGTCCCGGTTATGTGTTATTGAATAAACGGACTTCAGTCCTGCTTTTGGATACCACGGGATCGTGGTCACTCGCTCTACTGTCTACCGCTCGTGTCGCGGGCTCTTGCCGTCAGACGACACCCGCCGACACTGTTCGGGGTTCGCATGCTGCGGACGCCAAAAGCAGTGCGCACGCCTGCCAGCGCAGCACCGAGAAAAAAAAAACTTACCGCGTGCCCGCACACCTTAGTTCACCCAGCAGTGCTCGCCTTTTGGTCTTTCGTACGATGGTCCATCGCTACAAGGCAGCTAGCTGCACAAGCACGTCACACCTCGCACGGGATTCCACCAATTCCACGGCTCTCGCTTGAACCTGCGGGGGGGGAAGAGGGGGTAAGCCGGCTGCGTCGAGAACGAGAACTTCTAACAGATATTATATATAGCAGTATGCACGGCAGCTACAAACGATTTCAAAGCCTCGGCACCATGGTTTACCTTGTTCGTCGTACGGCTTGAATTCAGCGCTCCCCACATACGGTTTCGTAAGACGGAGAGGTAAGACCGTCACGGAAAACGATGAAACTCCTTGGAAACTTGCCGGCGGGGCTCGTTGCTGTGGCGTCCCCGCTAGCAAGATTTAAGCCAGTCACCCAACCTTAAGTCTTATGGCCATGTGCCACTAATATGTGCCATGTCGGAAAACTCCGTGCTCCCCAACCACCATAGAATTCCTCTATAAACTTTATTAAGAACTCCCTCAACCGCGTGCCACGTGGTTGATGGCGTCCTGTGCATGACGCCATCATAGACGATAGTTATAGCGCGAGAGCAAAACGACGACACAGAGACAAGAAGGACACGAGCGTGTCTTCCTTGTCTCTGTGTCGTCGTTTTGTTTTCGCGCTATAACTATCTTCATGTCAATCATGGTCATACCAACTAGCCCAAGCTGCCACCCATATAAAGTGACATATATATATATATAAAACAAACCATGACCTACTACACTCCTGACCTGTTCAGATAGCGGGGTTCCTATGGGAGCGCGTGTCCCCGCTCTCGTTCAATCGCTCGCCGTAGGTGGCGCTACCTATAACCTGTTCGTCTGCTACTGTGCGGCCGGCAGGAGGGCGACGGACTGATACCATGCGTCTGCTTCTGTGACAAACTGCCTATACGTGCACGAAGGACTTCAATTATGTCATTATACCCGACCGCCTGCCAGCCCTATATAGAGTGAACAGTTAATCGCCACATTTCGTTACCGGCGTAACGTTTCTAATTACCTTAAGTAAGCTTATACAGAAACGAACAAAGCTGTATGGGAAGATAGAGGTTTGAGATGAGAAATACATTTGACCAAATTCGGTCGCTAACTTCAGTGACACCCAGTGTTCAAGAGTTGTCCATCGCTAAACACACACACACACACACACACACACACACACAGAGAGAGACAAACTGTGGAGGCAGCACGTAAATATTTCATATCATTAATTTTTTTATGGATTTCGGCGGCATTTGTTGAGGCAGCCTTCGGGAAGGGTGCTCGAACCCCTCGCAACCCACCGCTACGCATTTTTACATAATTTACAGATTTCGTATATTTACTTTTTTCTTGTGTGCTATATTTAAATTTCTTGGCACTATTTGTGGAGCCTGCCATATTAGCCGCGGTACTTTAAAAAAGCTTTCATGTTTTTTAGCTCAGTGAATTAGCATAACACACGGAAATAAAGTTTACTAAAGCACCCTGGTGCTTCTTGCTAGCTTGCAACTCGTTCTGAATTGAAACGACTCTCAAAAACACAAGACTCACCTTTTCTTCCAATTGCCTCGATCCATTCTTCCCGTATGTCTGTGGCAGGAAACTCGTGAAAACTTACTTTACTTTGTTTGCCTTGTTCCGATTTGCAATATGGCACGCAGCAATACACCATACTTACATTTGAGGTGTCAGCTCATCTAAAAAAAAAAAACTGCACGCGGCCACTATTAGAGCTGACTACTGCAGCTATCTGCCGTCTGCAAGTTTCTGCACACGACCTACTGTGTTTCTGCGTATCTTCTGCAATTTGTGTATGCGTATCGTCTGGAACCATCGTGATTCAGTGTGAACAATGAATGCCTAACAATAGTTTTTTTATCTCGTTGGACTACGTTTTCATTCAAGAAATATTTTCATAATAAATTTTCCTTCATTTGTAGAAAAGTTCCCGTCTGCTTGCCACTGTGACCCTTTGTGTGCTTTTTTTACGGTTCTATTTCTGCTTCAAACGTCCACACGAATGCAGCCAACTCTGACGAGGAATCATATCGCTTTATTTGCCATATTTTACACATTCATACACAATTCATGCACAATAAGAACGATTTGCACTGCCACAGCGATGGCTGAAGCAGACGACAGCGAACAGGTGCTGCCTAGCGCCACGCCGCTCGTAGGTGACGGCCCTAGCGGCAGAAGGTATGAACTAGAACGTGGGCGCTGGAAGAGGTGCTCTCTGGGCAGGTCAGGAGTGTAGTAGGTCATGAAACAAACAAACAAAAGTGAACAATAAGGTCACGTGGACGTCTAGTTTACCTTTTAGACGCCAGTTGTCGAAAAGACCGTCTTCGATCAAGGGCCATCACAGGTCAATCCAAGACGATCCAAAACATTGTGAGAATCTGATGAGTTGATAAGCGCAGTTGTAAAATGAGACAGATGTTTCTGTAGAGTAAAGTGCAGCATTATCGCTTCGCGTGTTCGAGAATGCGTTTGTAGAAGCGTTAGCACCTGTCACCGCTAATTAGTGAAATGTGCCGCGATTTGACTTTGCGGCGGTAGCAGCAGCGGCAACGATCGCAGATCAGCGGGTGCAAGGCGGCGGCATGTCCCAAGAGCTACCGTTCCAAGAGTGGACCAACGGAGGTGCACCCACGACCACAGAGTCGGCGTTCAGGCGCGATGGCTCCGCTCCCAACAAAAGCGAAGCCGCAAAACTACTCGAACTGTCGACAGAAAGTGAATCCGAACCGGAACCGCTACAGCTCGTGCCACCCAAACGGAAGGTGCGCTTTCGAAAGTAAGTGTCGGACGCTTTTTCCGAAGGCGCGTGCGCAACCGTCGAGTTGTTGGGCGCCTGGCTGCTTTGTGACGTGCAAATCCATTATTCCGGGGTTTAATATCGCCGTCTAAAATTCTGGTCGTGAGCGTGATTGTTTGGACCCGATCAGCTGTTAACTGTTTCTTCTCATCACCCCCTTTGTTTCGCGCGACGACCAACCAGTCCTCACTACGCTAACATTTCGAAAAATCGTGCCTAAGGTGTGGTCATGATAAAAAGCAAACGCGCACACAAGAGACCACCGACGTCGGTGTTTGGGGTGTCTTGACCGCTCTCATGTCCGTGTTTGCATGCCTTGTCTGCTTAGCCTGAAGGCCGACCAACCAGCTCACTTATCTATTATTCGGCTGTGGTCGCAGGGAAATCGTTCCCGCGTCTATTACAATCTTAGTAATCCGGAATACTTGAAAATCTCGGCTATCCCGTACTACTGACTAAACCCCGTTCTACTGACTAATGGTTAAACCCTGCCTGCGTTTCGACGAAGATGAAAACGCTATTGGCCCGTGTACTTAGCTGTAGGTGCGCGGTAAAGAACTCTAGGTGATCGGAAGGCTCCATAATGCATCCCTCGTAATCATAAACCATGGTTTTCAGACATGAAACACCACCAACTGTAGTAGATTGCTAAATTTGAAATGGTTCTTCGACCCTCTACTGCTGCGGGATTCAGTCAGTGGCCACCCTCCTTCGGATACTTTTACTTGTTCCGTCATCAGTAAAGTGTTGTCACAGTCTGCCTGGTGCTTCTCAGGCTTTACTCAAACCTTATCGTCTCTCGAGGTATATGGTGGAGCACAGTGGTTTTCTACTGACAAGACCTTCCGACAAAGATGTTCATATCACATAAATGTAATATACAAGGAAGTACATCAAATGCACGCAATCCACAAGAAATAAGACGTTGTAAACCCCGTGAGTGTAAGAGAATCAACACACATTATTATCAAATTACACATCAAACCGCAGCTGGTAGACTATCGGACATATATCTCAAAAGGTTGTAGGCTTGAGTCCCACTGACGCAAAGGGTGCTTTCTCATAGCATCAATTTCTTTCGCTTTAGGTTATATTCATTAGGCTACACTTAAAGAGCAACAAATAATATCGTATTCCTTGGCTCAATTTTCAGTTATTTTCATGGCTTGTGTCTAACAAGAAAACGAGCCTCTCAAACAGTTTTTTTTCTTCCGTTTAAAAACTTTGTATGCATTGAAAATCTGTGCCTCTGGCACAAAGGCACAGCTCATTCACTCTTGCGGTCGTGATGTGCACAGGCGGCTGCGTGGCGCCCGTGGCCTCGTGCTGACCGGTGGCCCGCACTCCGGCAGTGCTTGCTGCGGCGGCAGTAGCGAAGGATGCTTGTCCATGGTCAAAGTGATAGGCTTTCTGCTCGGGGTGGCCATCTTGGTGGCACAGGCCTGGTTCCTGCTGAGCGTGCGATCCCGCCTTGATCACCTGTACACAATCTACCGACAGAACAGTAAGTTCAGGTCTCTCTAATGACCGTCATTAAGTACAGTCAGGAGCGATACGGAAGAGAACGAGTGCCTTCTTAAGCTCTGATTACTGGTGACCCTTAAAGAAGCGGGTGTAAGACAAGGGGATACAATCTCTCCCAGTGCTATTTGCTGCTTGCTTACAGGAGGCTTTCAGGGGCCTATATTGGGAAGAGTTAGGGCTAAGAGTTGAGGGAGAGTACCTTAGTAACCTGCACTTCGCCAATGACATTGCAGTGCTGAGTAATTCAGGGGATAAATTGCAATTCGTGATTACTGAATTAGACAAAGAGAACAGGCAGATAAGTCTTGAAATTAACCTGCAGAAAATGAAAGTAATGTACAAAAACCTTGAAAGACAATAGCACTTTGAAATTGGTAGCAGTGCACTTGAAATGTTGAAGGAGTACGTATAGGAAGGTATATAACAGCTGCATCTTACCGGTACTTACCTACGGAGCAGAAACCTGGAGGATTACAGAAGAGGGTCCAACTTAAGTTGATGACGACGCAGTGAGCATTGGAAAGGAAAATGATAGGTGTAACCCTAAGGGACAAGAAGAGTGGGTCAGGGAACAAACGGGTGTTAAGGACGTCATAGTCAAAATTAATAATAAATGGTCATGGGCAGAGCACATAGTGTGAAGGCAAGACAACTGCTGGTCATTAAGGATCGCAGACGGGATTTCAAGATAAGACAAGCTGGTGAGGGGGAGACAAAGTTAGGTGGGCAGATGATATTAGGAAGTTTGCTGGTAAGAAGTGGCAGCAGCAAGCACAGAACTTAGTTGACTGTCGGAACATGGGAGAGGCCTTTGTCCTGCAGTGGACGTAGTCAGGCTGATAATGACAGTGATGACTGGTGACGTGCAGATGAGAAGCTGATGTATTGACCTGCAAGGGGTATCATTCCACGTTAGAATCTGTACCCTGTTTCATACATCAGGTGCAATGTTGAGGAAGCCATGCAACAAGCTAATTTCACAGAATGTGTAACTCTGCTCGTCGTGCTCTTGGGGTTTTGTCATTGTTAACTTAGCCTCTACGATTGTTTCAGAAGTGCTCCATACAGTCATAAATGCTTTGCTATAATAAAACCTGATCAAGCTAGATGCAATCACAATTCCACCAGATATCCAGCAGTCGCACAGAGCGTGATGGTATTGGACGTCAACGTCAGGATATTTTCGTGACCAGGGGGAGTGGAACAGTCGGTTGCCGTGACAAAATGCAATTGGCCAGCGTCATGTGCAGATGAAAATTTTGTGTCCATCATGTGAACGATTTGCTGATAAGAGATCACGGCAATGCTGAAGACAGAAAGTCCCATCCTAAAATTAGTGGGAGTGTGCATGAAGACAGTATGAGGAATTGATTGTAATGGAGAATGCTATAGATAAAAATTTGTGCAGTGCATACACCAATAGGCTTAACAAGAATTGCATTGGCACACCATAGAGAAGATCCACTATTCGATGTTTTCACATTTAGCAAACAATAACATAATTGAGAACTAATGACAGAAAGTGCTGCACGCTGTGTCCACTAATGATTCAGTTCATATACCTTCAACACATACGAACAGTTTGTTTGAGGGCCACTGCAAAGGAGTTTCACTAAGCCCAAAAGATGCAGCTTTTCCTGCCGAAGCTGCACTATATAGTTTTCCGGGCAATGGCCTGGAGCTGAGACAGGAGGTCGAAGGGGAGAAGAAGAGAGGCACATCGGTTACAGAGAGCACTAACGTGAAAAACGGGATGCACGTGCTCCGCCAGGGCTCTGCGGAGATGGTGAGCGGTGGTCATAATGTTGGTAGGGGCGAATCTGTTGAGGAACCTGACCACTAAGCTCGTCTTTTTCATAGAATTTGTAACCTCATCGTTCATCTTGTTGACAGTGTCAGCAAAATTAAGAAATATAGCCACACACTCCACAATAATAGCATACTGGCTGGGATTCGCACCAGGTGTTGAGAGGCAGATGCTACATTCGTGGAGAAAGGAGCATAAGTAAACCGTGCATTGCAGGTGTGTGGAATAGTGTCTGTTGAAGAGGTGCTAAGGCCGCCACCTGAACTTATGTTGACGCCGGTATAGGGTCAGGCTTGGGAACTTCTCCACACCTTATGGTATCATGTTCCCCTCTGATGATTCTTGCGGAGACTGCTTCCGGGCGATGTCGTCCGGAGCTCAAGTGGGGAAGCTACAGCTTGTGCTTAAAGTTGCTCTTGTATGAGTGAACGAATCAGCATGCGTAGGTTGCTGTCCTTGGTTGCGCTTAGATGGAACATGTCAAAATGCAACCGTAGCAGATGGAGCTCATCAAAGCGTTGACATGTGGGGACGATTTCTGATACTGTCGAGAGGTTCTGCACTGCAAGGCCCTTGAAAGCTGCAGCACCAGTGTCTTTGAGTAGGTGGTGCACCCTGTCAGTCTCCATCATGTAGCTGTTCATCCGACGACATAGGGTGAAGACATCGATGTAAAACGTGTAGGACTCTCCGTTCTGCTGAACACGCTCTACTAACTTCTTTTTTGTGATGTCTGAGTGGATGAAAGGGTTGGGAAAAGTCTGTATGAGTTGACGCTTGAATGTGGTCCAGCCAAGGAATTCCAGCTCGTGGTTGAAAAACCAAGTCTTGGCCACAGTAATGAGGCAGAAGGCTACGTGAGAGATGCTTCGCAGCATCGTTCCAGTGGTTAAGGGCACCCACACGGCCTTACTCCTGCAACCAGTCTTCAACGTCGTCCCCACGAAGGTCAGCAAACTCCGGTAGATCTTTCTGAGATGTGGTGACAAAGCAAAAAGGGATCCCAATCGCGGCCGGAACTTCAGATGGTCCAGTGGTAGAGGGCTCGTCTTGAGACAAGGCCGAGTTGTGTCGGTGTAAACGACGACCGAAACGGAGCTCCATGGGTGTATTTAAATAGGAGTGAACGAGTAGGTAGAGCCAGAAAACTGAAGGATCGTACGGCACAATCCACCACTTGTGAGATGATGTTCAAGCCGCAAGCCTCTTCTTTACTCACAATCTAGACAGAGCCTCGCTGCTCAGACCAAAGTGATGATGATAGGTATTTACATACGAAAAGACCCCCGCAGGGGCGTCTGCGTAAGTAGGCGTTTGGTGCGTAGCGACACCACGGACCCGAGCTAACGGGGGAGTTTTGGCTCCCTCCCACGCCTAGCCGTGCGTGGCTGAGCCGTGTCCGGGCAAAAGGGGATCCTGGGGGTTGAGTTGACGCTGGGTGCTTGGACCTTTAAGGCCCCTCAGCAGAGGCAACACACCCCTTTGCCCCCGGCTTCACGTAGATGGCACCCCTGGGCTGACCCACCCAGGGAAATCGGCAGTTGCCTTTTCTTATCTCTCTCTCCCTACATCTTCGTCTTTATCTCTTACTATGTATCTGTCCTGTCTTCTACTCTCTTCCGTTTACTTTCAAACATCCTGGCGGCTAGGGTTAACCCTGTGCAAATAGCCTACCTTGGTCTAGGCGCATTAGGTTATAGTGGCGTTGTACGGCTGGCGTCTGCAGGTTTCAGCATCCGAAAACTTGTAGCGTCCCCTCGTTGGGCTCCGTGGTGGGTGGCAGCCAACGCTGCTAAACAAAAATAAGACAGGCATGCATAGAGCATTCCCCCTACTGTCTGATCGTACCGGCTTAAAGCGGGTACGCACCAATGATATAAATTTTTTCAACCAGCCAAAAGAAACATATCCTCACTTTCATGTTATCCACTGTGAAAAAACTGAAAAGCAAGCCAGGACCGTCTCTCCTTTCCTAGTTGCTAGATGTCTTACCGAAACTCTTGGCACAGGATACAAGGTAACCAAAATGGCTGGCGGAGACCTTCTCCTCGAAATCCGTGACAAAGAACAATTTGAAAAGCTAGACCGTCTTTCAGATTTCAGTGGCATACCAATAACCATAACACCACATAGATCAATGAACACAACTCGCAGAGGGGTATCTGACATGGACTTACTTGACTTGACTGAGACTGAACTTTTGTAGGGGTGGAAGAGCCAAAATGTCACTAATGTACAGAGAATCATCATCAGAAGAGATAATAAGGAAACACCGACAAAACACTTAATACTCACATTTGCATCCAGTAAACTGCCGGAATCTATAGACATCTATCAGGCCGTACATACCAAACCCTCGTCGTTGCTTCCAATGTCAGAGGTATGGCCATGGCTCTAAAACTTGTCGTGGTCGCCAGACTTGTGCACAATGTGCAGTCCTAGGCCACGTGTCTGAGAACTGCAAACAACCGCCACACTGTGTAAACTGCGAAGGAAACCATGCTGCATGTTCACGCTCCTGCACATACTGGAAAAAAGAAAAATAAATAGTTACGTTGAAGGTGAAGAAGAACATTTCATTTAAGGAAGCACGGCGAAGAGTCGCTCCATTCTATGGATCTACATACGCTGATGCGGCGCGTCAGGGGGCACCGCCGCACCAGCCCTCGCCACACCTTCGGCCCGCGCATACTGAGCCGGTGGTTGTGGCACCTTCCCCCAAGGCGGCTGTAGCCCAGGCTACACCGCCTACTCCCAAACAGAGACCGGAGACTCCAGAGTCCTCGGGTCTCAAGGCCTCACCTCACCAGGCGAGGCCCGAAATTCGAACTAACAGCCCGCACGTGCGGGCATCCAGTGCCTCCGAGGAGGCAATGGATACGTCGGTACCCTTGGTGCCGAAAGAGCGGCGTGGCTGCTTGGAGAGCGCCAAGAAAACAAAAAAGCAGATAACAGGGCCTGGTGACGGCCCTGTTAAGTGAACTCAAACTCCCTGTCTAAACAGCCACTCGCTTTTCGTACACACAGCACTATTTTACATTCATCGTGAACACTCAAATTATACAATAGAACATCAGGGGCCTTCTCAGAAACCTTGACGACATCCAAGAACTCTTACACGAACACTCACCAAAACGGCTTTGTGTACAAGAAACACACCTTAATTCAAAACA